GTGACGTTATATGTCCTGCGTGACGTAATATGCGCTGTGTGACGTTATATGCGCTGTGTGACGTTATATGTCCTGCGTGACGTTATATGTCCTGCGTGACGTAATATGCGCTGTGTGACGTTATATGCGCTGTGTGACGTTATATGGGCTGTGTGACGTTATATGCGCTGTGTGACGTTATATGTCCTGCGTGACGTTATATGTCCTGCGTGACGTAATATGCGCTATGTGACGTTATATGGGCTGTGTGCCGTTATATGCGCTGTGTGACGTTATATGTCCTGCGTGACGTTATATGTCCTGCGTGACGTAATATGCGCTGTGTGAAGTTATATGTCCTGTGTGACCGTTATATGTCCTGTGTGACATTATATGTCCTGCGTGACGTTATATGTGCTGTGTGACCGTTATATTCGTTGTGTGATTTTATATGTGCTGTGTGACATTATATGTGTTGCGTGATGTTATGATGTTATATGTGTTTCGTGATGTTCTATGTGCTGTGTGATGTTCTATGTGCTGTGTGAAGTTAGATAGTTACATAGCTGAAAAGAGACTTGCGTCCATCAAGTTCAGCCTTCCTAACATATGTTTTTGCTGTTGATCCAAAAGAAGGCAAAAAACCTAGTCTGAAGCACTTCCAATTTTGCCACAAACTAGGAAAAAAATTCCTTCTTGACCCCAAAATAGCAGATGTCTCCTTGGATCAAGCAGCTATTACTCCACTAATTAGAAATTATATCCCTATATGTTATGTTTATGTAAGTATTTATCCAAATGCAGTTTAAACATCCGTAGTGACTCTGACAAAACCACCTCTTCAGGCCGAGAATTCCATATACTTATTGTTCTTACTGTAAAAAAACCTTTTCTTTGCCTTAGATGAAATCTCCTTTCTTCCAGCCTAAATGTGTGACCTCGTGTCCTATGTATAGCCCTGTTTATGAATAGATTTCCAGATAAAGGTTTGTACTGGCCCCGAATATATATGTATAAAGTTATCATATCCCCTCTCAGGCGCCGTTTTTCCAAACTAAACAGATTTAATTTTTTTAACCTTTCTTCATAACTAAAATGCACCATTCCTTCTCGTGTGTGGTTATCCCTAATTCACTACTATTTAGTGTGTAAGTTGCTTGTGCATTCTTAACCCCGAAGTACATAACTTTGCATTTCTCTATGTTAAATTTCATCTGCCATTTTAGTGCCCAGTCCCCCAATCTATCCAAATCCCTATGCAGCAAAGCAATATCCTGCTCACATTTTATTACTTTACAAAGTTTTGTGTCATCTGCAAACACTGATACATGGCTTTCAATGCCTATTTCAAGATCATTTATAAATATGTTAAATAGAAGTGGTCCCAAAACAGAACCCCGAGGGACACCACTTACCACTTTTGTCCAGCCTGAAAATTTACCATTAATTACAACTCGTTGTACTCTATCCTTAAGCCAATGTTCTACCCAAGAACAAGAATATTCATTTAGACCAATTTCTTTTAGTTTGAAGACTAACCTATTGTGAGGAAACGTATCAAATGCCTTGGCAAAATCCAAGTAGATCACATCCACTGCAACACCCTGATCTATACTTCTACTTACTTCTTCGTAGAATGCAATTAGGTTAGTTTGACATGACCTATGTTTCATAAAACCATGCTGATTATTGCTAATAACAAAGTTCTTCCCAATGAATTCCTGAATATTATCCCTTAATAGCCCTTCTAATATTTTCCCAGTTACAGAAGTTAAGCTCACAGGTCTATAATTTCCAGGCGAGGATTTTGAACCCTTTTAAAATATAGGAACAACATCTGCCTTCCTCCAATCCTCTGGTACAACACCTGAAACAAAAGAATCTTGAAAAATTAAATACAGAGGTTCACTTATTTCCCCACTTAGCTCCTTAAGTACTCTTGGGTGAATACCTTCAGGCCCCGGAGCTTTATTTACATTAATTTTCTTTAATAGCTGTAGCACTTTGTCTCGAGTTATCCAATCACAAGTTATTTGCAATTTTTTTGCAGCAATCATTTGCATATCTCTTGCCATAGGATCCTCATTAATATATACTGAAGAAAAATAGTTATTTAAAATTTCTGCTTTTTCCTGGTCTTCATTAGCTAATAAACCCAACTCTGTTTCCAGGCCATTTAAAATGTATTGGTATAAAAAATGCACTATTCCATGGAGAGGAGGTAATATAAAAAATATTCTGGGAAAATGTGAAATGGAATGGGTTTTTAACCCTAACTACAAATGGTTTAAATGCTGATTTTGATTTATTTAATTTTATATAATATTGTATTTTTATCATTCATTACTGTCTGTTATTTTTATATATATATATTTTGTTTATATATATATTTTTTTATACTTTTACACCTATTTTATTTCCTTTACAACTTTTTGTTGACTAGTGTTATACCTCACTCCATTAGAGGTTTTACGCTACATGTCCTTTTCAATTATTAATATGTTCCTATTACTGTTTCCCCCTCCTTTTTTATGGAAATATGTTTATTTACAGCATATATGTTTCTTGCCACCTCCAATATGGCCGCCGCTATGTTTTTCACATAGCCTAATGGAGACCATTCCCCTACCAAGATGGCCACCGCGCCCTTATTTTCCCTTTACCTAGCCGTTTTTCGGCTATTTCCCTTCCTCCCTCTCCCCTCCGGTCCACGGCCACTCCCCTCTTTTGAGCCTATCATATGGCTCTGAAATTCCCTCGGTAGATAGCTTGGGCATGTAGTTTAAGATACAACTATTATAGCAATAATATTCCTTTACATACACCTCATTTTTATACCATAATTATATAATTTGAATCCTATTAGCTATATCTATGTATCTAAAATGTTTCTTTGCTGTTTTATGTGAGTAATTACAATCTGCTCTGTGATTGGTCAGAGCAGTTTTGGCGCAATTTTCAAAGTTGTTCTAAGACTATATAAATCTTAACTAGCCAGGTTGACATGTTTTTAATCCATTGATAAAGCCTATATTGGTGAAACGCGCTTGGATATTGTACTGTTTTTTTAATTACTGTTAATAAATAGATTTTGGTCATTTTATTCTTTTGCACCATTATCTTTTATTTATTTTTATTTTTTAACTACCTGGCTTTTTATCTATTGTCTCCTATACTCCAAAGAATCCAGAGGTGGGGATCATACTACCCGTGCCTATACCATAGAGCAGTTAGCCTGCCCTATACATTGTGAGTATATTTTATATACCAGCATTATTTTACTGAGAGCACTATTGCTGTTTTATTATCTTCTCCCTGAGCTCCTGTTACCATCTTAAAGAACTATTTCAAAGAACGCTCACCACATATCCCAGAGACGGGGATCATACCGTTGCATGCCTACTATACTAGCTCTATTAAATGTGAGTGTATCTATTATATTTTAATACTTTTTATCCACTTTTGCGACATACTGCACTATCACTGCTTTTCGTTTTATCTTCCCCCTGGTTGCCTGTCACTACACTGAAGAGGAAGCTCACTGTATATCCTACAAGCGGGGATAATACCGCTGCAAGCTATTCATACCAGAGCTGGATTAAGCTCTACTAAAAGTGAGTATTATCTCTTCTTTTTTATTTGGATACCTTTTGGATCATTCTCTACCATCTCATCATCCATCGCCCCCCTCCTCCATATATCAGTAAGGAGCAAAATTCCACAACTTCAGAGACCAACATAAGACCAAGTTTCATTACATTGGACTTTATTTCAATACCCCAATTAGGACTTTTAAAATTTTGTTTATTGGCGCAGTCCCATCCTTTTGTTTGTTTGCTTTCTGTTTCCAGTGTACCTACACTTTCATTTTTTTTTTTTTTTGGAATTGATGTACTTGAAAAAAATTTTGGGGTTGGTTTTGCATTCTTTAGCTATCAATTTCTCATTTTCTAATTTAGCCACTTTAATTGCCTTTTTGCAAGCGTTATTGGCTTCCTTATATCTTAAATAGGATGCCTCTGATTTTTAAATGCCCTTTTCTTATTTTTAATCTCTTGTTCTACTTCTCTACTAAGCCACATTGGTTTTAATTTGTTTCTTTTATATTTATTACCCAATGGTACATACTGAGAAATGTACCTTTCTAATATCTGTTTGAATAGTTTCCATTTATCCTCAGTGTTTTTATCACTAAGGAGTTTATGCCAGTCGATATGTTGTAGAGCTGCCCTAATCTTATTGAAATTGGCTTTTTTTAAATTATATGTTTTAGTATACCCCACTTGCTTTTGCTTTTTTGAGTTTATTTCAAAATTTACCATGTTGTGATCACTATTTCCCAAATGCTCCCCTACTTGAATGTTGGTTAAAAGATCAACAATGTTTGTTATGACAAGATCCAGACAAGCATCCTTTCTAGTTGGTGCTTGTACCAGTTGTGACATAAAGGTGTCATTTAACACATTCAAAAACCTGATTCCCCTTGCTGAAGTACTAGTCCCTCTATCCCAATTTATGTCTGGATAATTAAAATCTCCAATAATTAACGTGTTACCTCGATTTACAGCTTTCTCAATTTGCTCTAACAGCTGTTCTTCCTCAACAATATTTACATTAGGTGGTTTATAACATATCCCAACCAATAATTGATTTCCCTTTGTTTGCCCCAAGCAGATATCTACCCATAAAGCCTCCACATTTTCCTCGTCACACTCCACATGCTTAAGATTTGACTTTAACTCATGGTTGACATATAAACATACCCCACCACCCTTCTTGCTTTCCCTATCCTTCCTAAATAACGTGTACCCATTTAAATTAACTGCCCAGTCATGTGTCTCATCCCACCATGTTTCTGTTATGCCTAATATATTGTTTAGTGTATGCTATTGCCTCTAGTTATATGTGTTATATGATGTTATATGACGTTATATGTGTTATATGACGTTATATGTGCTGTGTGACGTTATATGTGTTATATGATGTTATCAGGGCCGGCGCGTCCATAAGGCGGCACAGGCGGCTGCCTTAGGGCGCACCGGCTCTGGGGGCGCAAAATTCCAGTGACCGGCAGGAGGGAAGTGCTCCCTCCTGCCAGGTCGCCTCCTGGATCCCCTGCGCGGCGTGCGACTGAATTGGATGCCGAGGTGGCGAGGGAGCTCTGATCTCTCTGATCTGCTCCCTCGCAGGCTGTTTACTGATGACGTCATATTCCGGCTCCCGCGGCAGCAGTAAGCAGCCTGCGAGGGAGCACATCAGAGAGATCAGAGCTCCCTCGCTGCCTCGGAATCCAATTCAGCCGCACGCCTCCCAGCAGCCCCACTGGACCACCAATGAGAGACCCACGCCAGCTCTACAGGTAGGGAGGCTGGGTGGGAAATGTTAATTTAATTTAGATGATTAATTACTGTTAGTGTGTGTGTGCATGTGAGTGAGTGTGTCTGTCAGTCAGTGTGTGTGTGTGTATGTGTGTCTGTCAGTATGTGAGTGAGTGTGTCTGTCAGTGTGTGAGTGAGTGTATGTGAGTATGTGTGTCTGTCAGTGTGTGAGTATGTGTGTCTGTCAGTGTGTGAGTGAGTGTATGTGAGTATGTGTGTCTGTCAGTGTGTGTGTGTGTGTGTGTGTATGTGAGTATGTGTGTCCTGTCAGTGTGTGAGTGGGTGTGTCTGTCAGTGTGTGTGTGTGTGTGTGTGTATGTGAGTATGTGTGTCTGTCAGTGTGTGGTGAGTATATGTCTGTCAGTGGCTGTGTGTGTGTGTATGTGAGTATGTGTGTCTGCCAGTGTGTATGTGAGGATGTGTGTCTGTCAGTGTGTGAGTGTGTGTATGTGAGTATGTGTGTCTATCAGTGTGTGAGTGAGTGTGTCTGTCAGTGTGTGTGTGTGTGTGTGTGTGTGTGTGTGTGTGTGTGTGTGTGTGTGTGTGTGTGTGTGTGTGTGTGTCTGTGTGTGTGTGTGTGTGTATGTGAGTATGTGTGTCTGTCAGTGTGTGAATGAGTGTGTCTGTCAGTGTGTGTGTATGTGAGTATGTGTGTCTGTCAGTGTGTGTATGAGTGAGTGTGTCTGTCAGTGTGTGTGTGAGTATGTGTGTCTGTCAGTGTGTGTGAGAGTATGTGTGTCTGTCAGTGTGTGTGAGTTTGTGTGTGTGTGTCAGTGTGTGTGTGTAGGTATATTAGCTGTCTGTCAGTGTGTGTGCTAGTATGTGTGTCTGTCAGTGTGTGAGTGGGTCCTGTCCAGTGTGTGTGTGTGTGTGTGTGTGTGTATGTAGTATGTGTGTCTGTCAATTAGTGAGTGAGTGTGTCTGTCAGTGTGTGTGTGTTTGTATGTGAGTATGTGTGTCTTTCAGTGTGTGAGTGGGGGAGTGTGTCTGTGTCCAGTGTGTGTGTGTGTGTGTGTGTGTGTGTGTATGTGAGTATAACAATTGTCTGTCCAGTGTGTGAGTGAGTGTATCTGTCGAATGTGTGTGTGTGTATAATAGTATGTGTGTCTGTCAGTGTGTAATTAGAGTATGTCCTGTGTCAGTGTGTGTGTGTCTGTATGTGAGTATGTGTGTCCTGTCAATTAATAGTAGTATGATGTGTCTCAGTGTGTGTGTGTGTGTGTGTGTGTATGTGAGTATGTCAGTGTGTGGGTGAGTGTGTCTGTCAGTGTGTGTATGTGTGTGTCTATGTGAGTATGTGTGTCTGTCAGTGTGTGAGTGAGTGTGTCTGTCAGTGTGTGTGTGTATGTGAGTGTGTGAGTGAGTGTGTCTGTCAGTGTGTGTGTGTGTGTGTGTGTATGTGAGTATGTGTGTCTGTCAGTGTGTGTGTGAGTATGTGTGTCTGTCAGTGTGTGTATGAGTATGTGTGTCTGTCAGTGTGTGTGAGTGAGTGTGTTTGTCAGTATGTGCATGTGAGTACGTGTGTCTGTCAGTGTCTGTCAGTGTCTGTGAGTTTCTGTGTGTGTGTCAGTGTGTGTTTTTCAATGAGTCTGTCAGTGTTTGTGTCTGTCAGTGTGCGTGTGAGTGTCTGTCAATGAATGAGTGTGTCAGATAAGTGAGTCTGGCTGTCAGAGATGTCTGTGTGTTTGTCATTGAGTGTGTGTGACTGTCAGTGTTTCTACACCCCTGACTGTAGCGTGGCCAAGCGGAGTGTACCGTGGTACAGGAACTTCTGTTTCCTGTACCTAGCAGGACTGACAGGAAAAGCTCACTGTACCGGGATTCGCTCCGCTCAGCCACGCTACAAGAAAGGTAGGAGGCGCACCAAGGGACAGGGAGAGGAGGGGAGAGATACCCTAAGGTACAGGAAAAGGAGGGAGAGGGGGAGAGGAACACTAAGCGACAGGGAACAGATGGGGGAGGGAAGAGGAACACTAAGGGACAGGGAAAGGAGGGTGGAAGGGAAAGGAACAGTAGGGGTCAGAGAAGGGAGGGGACCATTAAGGGACGGGGAGAGGGGCTGGATGTGAAAGAAACACACAGCGGGGCTTGAGAAGGAAAGAGGCACACACAAAGGAGCTGGGAAGAATAAAAGACACAAATGGGCTGGGAGAAAAGGAGTCACACAAAGGGGCTGGGAGGAGTAAGACACAAAATGTGGGAGGATGTAAGAGTCATACAAAGAGGAGAGATAGGAGACACACAAAGGCAAAAATAGGAGATAAAATACACTAAAGGGAGTCAGATATTTAAAAGACGGGATAAGAAACACAAAAGGGAGGTTAAGAGGCACATGGGTGAAGATGTTTTTGGGGGGGCGGAAAAATGCATCTTCGCCTATGTACCCAAAATTCTTTGCACCGGCCCTGGATGTTATATGTGCTGTGTGATGTTGTGTGTTATAATGATGTTATATGTGCTGTATGATGTTATATATGTTTTATGTTTTAGCTATGGAATTTGCTGGTGCTATATACAGTTGCAAGAAAAAGTATGTGAACCCTTTGAAATTATATGGATTTCTGCACAAATTGGTCATAAAATGTGATCTGATCATCATCTAAGTCACAACAATAGACAATCACAGTCTGCTTAAACTAATAACACACAAAGAATGAAATGTTGCCATGTTTTTATTGAACACACCATGTAAACATTCACAGTGCAGGTGGAAAAATGTATGTGAACCCCTAGACTAATGACATCTCCAAGAGCTAATTGGAGTGAGATGTCAGCCAACTGGAGTCCAATCAATGAGATGAGATTGGAGGTGTTGGTTACAGCTGCCCTGCCCTATAAAAAACACACACCAGTTCTGGGTTTGCTTTTCACAAGAAGCATTGCCTGATGTGAATGATGCCTCGCACAAAAGAGCTCTCAGAAGACCTACGATTAAGAATTGTTGACTTGCATAAAGCTGGAAAGGGTTATAAAAGTATCTCCAAAAGCCTTGCTGTTCATCAGTCCACGGTAAGACAAATTGTCTATAAATGGAGAAAGTTCAGCACTGCTGCTACTCTCCCTAGGAGTGGCCGTCCTGTAAAGATGACTGCAAGAGCACAGCGCAGACTGCTCAATGAGGTGAAGAAGAATCCTAGAGTGTCAGCTAAAGACTTACAAAAGTCACTGGCAAATGCTAACATCCCTGTTAGCGAATCTACAATACGTAAAACACTAAACAAGAATGGATTTTATGGGAGGATACCACAGAGGAAGCCACTGCTGTCCAAACAAAACATTGCTGCACGTTTATAGTTTGCACAAGAGCACCTGGATGTTCCACAGCAGTACTGGCAAAATATTCTGTGGACAGATGAAACCAAAGTTGAGTTGTTTGGAAGAAACACACAACACTATGTGTGGCGAAAAAAAGGCACAGCAACATCAAAACCTCATCCCAACTGTGAAGTATGGTGGTGGGGCCATCATGGTTTGGGGCTGCTTTGCTGCGTCAGGGCCTGGAAGGATTGCTATCATCGAAGGAAAAATTAATTCCCAAGTTTATCAAGACATTTTGCAATAGAACTTAAGGCCATCTGTCTACCAGCTGAAGCTCAACAGAAGATGGGTGTTGCAACAGGACAATGACCCAAAGCATAGAAGTAAATCAACAACAGAATGGCTTAAACAGAAGAAAATACGCCTTCTGAAGTGGCCCAGTCAGAGTCCTGACCTCAACCCAATTGAGATGCTGTGGCATGACCTCAAGAAAGCGATTCACACCAGACATCCCAAGAATATTGCTGAACTGAAACAGTTCTGTACAGGGAGTGCAGAATTATTAGGCAAATTAGTATTTTGACCACATCATCCTCTTTATGCATGTTGTCTTACTCCAAGCTGTATAGGCTCGAAAGCCTACTACCAATTAAGCATATTAGGTGATGTGCATCTCTGTAATGAGAAGGGGTGTGGTCTAATGACATCAACACCCTATATCAGGTGTGCATAATTATTAGGCAACTTCCTTTCCTTTGGCAAAATGGGTCAAAAGAAGGACTTGACAGGCTCAGAAAAGTCAAAAATAGTGAGATATCTTGCAGAGGGATGCAGCACTCTTAAAATTGCAAAGCTTCTGAAGCGTGATCATCGAACAATCAAGCGTTTCATTCAAAATAGTCAACAGGGTCGCAAGAAGCGTGTGGAAAAACCAAGGCGCAAAATAACTGCCCATGAACTGAGAAAAGTCAAGCGTGCAGCTGCCACGATGCCACTTGCCACCAGTTTGGCCATATTTCAGAGCTGCAACATCACTGGAGTGCCCAAAAGCACAAGGTGTGCAATACTCAGAGACATGGCCAAGGTAAGAAAGGCTGAAAGACGACCACCACTGAACAAGACACACAAGCTGAAACGTCAAGACTGGGCCAAGAAATATCTCAAGACTGATTTTTCTAAGGTTTTATGGACTGATGAAATGAGAGTGAGTCTTGATGGGCCAGATGGATGGGCCCGTGGCTGGATTGGTAAAGGGCAGAGAGCTCCAGTCCGACTCAGACGCCAGCAAGGTGGAGGTGGAGTACTGGTTTGGGCTGGTATCATCAAAGATGAGCTTGTGGGGCCTTTTCGGGTTGAGGATGGAGTCAAGCTCAACTCCCAGTCCTACTGCCAGTTCCTGGAAGACACCTTCTTCAAGCAGTGGTACAGGAAGAAGTCTGCATCCTTCAAGAAAAACATGATTTTCATGCAGGACAATGCTCCATCACACGCGTCCAAGTACTCCACAGCGTGGCTGGCAAGAAAGGGTATAAAAGAAGAAAATCTAATGACATGGCCTCCTTGTTCACCTGATCTGAACCCCATTGAGAACCTGTGGTCCATCATCAAATGTGAGATTTACAAGGAGGGAAAACAGTACACCTCTCTGAACAGTGTCTGGGAGGCTGTGGTTGCTGCTGCACGCAATGTTGATGGTGAACAGATCAAAACACTGACAGAATCCATGGATGGCAGGCTTTTGAGTGTCCTTGCAAAGAAAGGTGGCTATATTGGTCACTGATTTGTTTTTGTTTTGTTTTTGAATGTCAGAAATGTATATTTGTGAATGTTGAGATGTTATATTGGTTTCACTGGTAATAATAAATAATTGAAATGGGTATATATTTGTTTTTTGTTAAGTTGCCTAATAATTATGCACAGTAATAGTCACCTGCACACACAGATATCCCCCTAACATAGCTAAAACTAAAAACAAACTAAAAACTACTTCCAAAAATATTCAGCTTTGATATTAATGAGTTTTTTGGGTTCATTGAGAACATGGTTGTTGTTCAATAATAAAATGAATCCTCAAAAATACAACTTGCCTTATAATTCTGCACTCCCTGTAAAGAGGAATGGTCAAGAATTACTCCTGACCGTTGTGCACGTCTGATCTGCAACTACAGGAAACGTTTGGTTGAAGTTATTGCTGCCAAAGGAAGTTCAACCAGTTATTAAATCCAAGGGTTCACATACTTTTTCCACCTGCACTGTGAATGTTTACATGGTGTGTTCAATAAAAACATGGCAACATTTCATTTTTTGTGTGTTATTAGTTTAAGCAGACTGTAATTGTCTATTGTTGTGACTTAGATGATGATCAGATCACATTTTATGACCAATTTGTGCAGAAATCCATATCATTCCAAAGGGTTCACATACTTTTTCTTGCAACTGTAAATAATATTATAATAATAGTGCAATTTGGCAGTAGGGGAGCTCTGTAGGTATTGGATTGTCCTAGTGACCCACACCAATAAAATAAAATAAAAAATCACCAAATAGGGGGAGAGTTTTTCATGCTTCACCTATGGGCTGTTGTATGGCATCCCTTTCTGTCATTCCTTGGAGTAGGTCCCTGCTGTAGAAGGTGTCGGGCTCTGTCACAGGCTGTGAATTATTATAATTCACAGCCCTCCTTCTTCCCCTCACCCCCCACCACTTTATAAACCCACATTGTTCTGGCAATGTGTTTTGTTTCCTCTGGGTGACGGTGGGTCTCTGCTTTCATCTGCCCTTACTCTGCTCTCGCGCATACAGTCCTCTCTGCACATCGAATAGTTACAGGGTGGGCATGCATAGACTCGCGATGTTTGACGCCGGGGGTCGTGGAGGATGGGTGAGCATTATGGGAAACGTTAACATGACAAAGTTAGTGGGGCGTGCTTTAAGCTCCACCCTTTGTCAAGTTGTGTCAAGTGGCACAAAATATATACCTTGCCTTATGTACTTTAAGAGCAGTAGAATAGATAAGAAAACAAGACAGAGCCTCTTAGTCAACCAGATCACTTCATCTTAATGATGTGGTCGGGAAGCATGGTCCTGTCATAACCCTGCAATGAGTTTTAGAAACTGCAATGGTTACATCCATGCTCAAATATACTTCTAGTGGCTGTGTTTCCTTTGAGAAGCACTGAATGTGTGCACAGCACTTGCTGCACATGTGCACCAGGTATGATGAGCATTCAATTTGACCACTGATGGGGGTAAGTGGTTGAAGTCATCTAGGGACACTGTAGCGATATTACAGGTTTGTATGCCTAACCCTATAGTGTTCCTTTAAAGGAGCACAATAGTCAACATATAAAAGCAAAAAAGACAGGTCCCCTAGCCTTTTCTTGCTTTTATATTCGTTTCACATAAAAAATAAATAAATAAATCTGAGTGTTTTTTTATCATATAAACTTACCTCCGTTCCAGCGCTGAGCTCCTCGGCCGGCAACGCCCCCTTTTTCGTCAAAATGCTTTCGTCAGATGCTTCTCTTGGAGAAGCGGCATCACTCTGTGGTGCGCAGGTGCGGCTTCGCACTGCACCAATCGGGTTCTTCATAGAGCGGCACTTCAGTGCCACTGTATAAATTAACTGAGCGCTCTACCGCACCTGTGCGCATTCACTCGCATTCAGCTCGCTGTCTATACCTGCCCCCTCCTACTGCAACCCTCCTCAGCCCAAAGTTTGTTATATAGCGATATCTCTATATATAGATATATAGTGTTTGTATACAAACACACACATTGTAAATAAATATTGTTAAACATACACTATCTATTTCTATCTATCTATACACAATCCATCTATTTCTATCTATACACTATCCATCTATTTCTCTCTCTCATTTTCTATTTCTCCCACTCACTCTCCTCAAACAGTAAGTAAACTTATTTTAAAGTCAGTAGATCTTCCTGCTCGGCCTCCTTCCTTCAGCCTGTCAGCCCGACCCGACGTTGTGTGCTGGAGATCATTATTTCACACACTGTCGGCTCTGGGCTGACAGGCTCTGGGTTACTACAGGACACAGGAGGTGCTTTCACAGTGCCTCCTGTGTCCTGATAGCACGTTTGATGTCTTCAGCCAAGCGTGAAGACGTCAAACGCAATGAATGCAAATTATGCAGCACTTAACTCGGAAGTCCCTCTGGTGGCCGTCTGAGGGACTGCCACTGGAGGTGTTCCTAGTGTTTACATGAAAAGGGCTGCAGGGTGCAATTGTACTCACCTGAACAACTTCATTAAGCTGAAGTTGTTCAGGTGACTATAGTGTCCATTTAAGACAAGTGGACATTGTAGCTGCAAAAGAAACTTAGATTGCTATCTGTGTTTACTGACAGGCTACACATACATCAGGCTGTCAGTGAATACAGTTATCATCTAATCCCTGCTGCATGAGTTCATGTCTTCCAATAAAACAATTTAACTTTTGCTTGTTTTTTTTTTTGAAGGAACACTGTAGGCACCCAGACCACTTCAGCTCATTGAAGTGGTCTGGGTGCCAACTCCCACCACCCTCAACCCTGCAAGTGTAATCATTGCATTTTTTATACAAGGCAATAATTACCTTGCCAGGTTAAGTCCTCCTCTAGTGGCTGTCTATCAGACAGCCACTAGAGGGACTTCCGACTTCTTAGACGACTTTTGGTTGTCTAAACGTCCGCATTGAATAATGCGTTTCTATGGGGAGGCCTTATGTGCGCGCCCATTGTCGCGCATGCCCATTAGGTCTCCCCCGCCGGTGGATTCAGGTAAGTATCTGAAGGAGTTTTAACCCCTTCAGCGACGTGGGATGGGGGAACTGTAGGATTCTCTAGTGCCAGGAACATGGGTTTGTTTTCCTGGCACTAGAGAATCCCTTTAAATAGGAAATTCGCTTTTGATTCACCTGGAGTTCTCTTTAGTGAATAACCCTGAATGTTATGTATTATGTAGTAACAGTCAAGTGAGAAGGCGGAGCAGTAATGAGAGAAGCTCACTATGTTAAAGTTACATGTATTGACTTTTGGACTCAATGCTGACAACATACATCTCGAAACTGACTAACAGCATTATCTTACTACAATGACAGTTCGGGTCTTAGCACTTTCATCTCTCAGGGAAACTAAATTGGTACCTAACCTGGGGATTGCGAGATTTATGGCAATTAAAGGTCATTAAAAGTGAGCATGCGGGGTGGGGACTGAACCTCATGGCATTGGGTCGCAAGTACCTCTTCAGCAAGCTTCTTGTTTCAGCAGTTTACTACGACACCCAGAACTCACACCTGAGACAGACAGTGTCCTACCTGTTCCTGATACCGGACAGAGGGACCCGGTCTGGTCTCCAACGGTGCTCACTCAGTCTTGTTTGACGGAGCTGCTGAGGCCTTGTGTGTGCACTGGGTGGGAGAAACGAATGATCTTCTGTGCCACAATGCATCATTCTCTTACAAAAAAAACTTGTGTCCCGTCCCCTGTAGGCCGGCAGGGGTTATCCCGGTCCCCACTGCGCTGTCAGCATACCAGTGCCAAAATTCTCACCATCATTGGTACAGAACCTTGGAGCGCACGCCTACAAGAACAAGATGGTGGTGGTACTTGATACTTGAGAGGATACTCTGAAGGAGCGGTGCCAGTGTATACATGTGGAGAGATCTACGGCAAAATTGGAAGCTATCTTTAACGATTTCTGGGCTGTACTAGCTGCACGGGCAGCATCATTGCAACTAGCCTCCCAAACAAGAGAGCAGGGAAACGAGAAGTAAGATGGCAGCAGATCTCCCTTTGGTAGTATTAAGTTGCAAGCAACTACCCCACTGTACATTAAAGGGACACTATAGTCACCAGAACAACTACAGCTTATTGAATTTGTTCTGGTGAGTAGAATCATTACCTTCAGGCTTTTTGCTATAAACACTGTCTTTTCAGAGAAAATGCAGTGTTTACATTACAGCCTAGTGATAACTTCACTGGCCACTCCTCAGATGGCTGATAGAGATCCTTCCTGGGTCATGGCTGCCTAAAATGCATCCAAACATTCAGTGTCTCCTCCCTCTGCATGCAAACACTGAACTTTCCTCATAGAGATTCATTGATTCAATTCATCTCTATGAGGAGATGCTGATTGGCCAGGGCTGTGTTTGAATCATGCTGGCTTTACCCCTGATCTGCCTCTTTGTCAGTCTCAGCCAATCCTATGGGAAAGTATTGTGATTGGATCAGGCCACCACTTCTGATGATGTCAGCAGACTGCTTGTTTTTCTGAGGCAGACAGGGCAGAGCCAGCAGCTTCTGGCTTGAATACAGTACGATTTTTACTATATTTATGGAGGCATGAGGGGCCCAGGGGGGCTAGATGGTGGTTTTAACACTAGAAACATAGAAACATAGAATGTGACGGCAGATAAGAACCATTCGGCCCATCTAGTCTGCCCAATTTTCTAAATACTTTCATTAGTCCCTAGTCTTATCTTATAGTTAGGATAGCCTTATGCCTATCCCACGCATGCTTAAACTCCTTACTGTGTTAACCTCTACCACTTCAGCTGGAAGGCTATTCCATGCATCCACTACCCTCTCAGTAAAGTAATACTTCCTGATATTATTTTTAAACCTTTGTCCCTCTAATTTAAGACTATGTCCTCTTGTTGTGGTAGTTTTTCTTCTTTTAAATATAGTCTCCTCCTTTACTGTGTTGATTCCCTTTATATATTTAAATGTTTCTATCATATCCCCCCTGTCTCGTCTTTCCTCCAAGCTATACATGTTAAGATCCTTTAACCTTTCCTGGTAAGTTTTATCCCGCAATCCATGAACCAGTTTAGTAGCCCTTCTCTGAACCCTCTCTAAGGTATCAATATCCTTCTGAAGATACGGTCTCCAGTACTGTGTACAATACTCCAAGTGAGGTCTCACCAGTGTTCTGTATAATGGCATGAGCACTTCCCTCTATAGCACTAGAGCACTTCCCACTATAGGGTCAGGAATATATGTTTGTGTTCCCGACCCTATAGTGATCCTTTAACCCACCTAGGCTGAAGGCCACCAGTGGTTTACCTCCTCTTAATCGACCACAGTGGAGCAATCATCATAACAAGCAGCGAAAGATCACACAAATCCTCTGCTATCCCATAGATGGGAAGGACTTGGACTGCATCAGTCTGCAAGTGCATGGTGCAGTGATGATAACCTCCTTACAGGGCTGGGGCTTCTGGGATTCCTGGCCTCACCACCGTTTAACTGCTGCACCACAGCTACCCAACATGTTCCAAGTTTGGGAACTGGTTGATCAGAGACTCTCCAAGGCACACAACCCTGCTACTTACTGCCTAATGTCTTATATTTGATGGGCCATTTGGAAAACTCCATGTAATTTTACACTTAGTTGCTTACTTACTATGTTGATTTATATGCATTTTATTCTCTCTTCTAGTTTTGGTTTCTCTTCATGTGTGTTGCAATCGCTGTGTATACGCACACAGTTGCAGTGCAAATTTTCGAACTCACCCGCCATTAACTGTTTATCGCCTCCACTCATATCGCGTATCAAGCATTGTTTTAGCTAGCGAGTGTGTATCTTCCATTATGCTACTTGTACTGACGTGCTATTCACACTTACCTAACTTGTTTCTTTCTAACTCAATTTTAAAAATGAGGCTACTTCTCTTAGGAGTTTCTTATCATATGCCTATTGACCAGGTTGTATTCCCGATTTTACTTATATCGAGTTCAACTACACATGTGCATGTATCTTAAACCTGCCTCAATAAAAAAAAGTGTGACAAAAAAGGGGGCATGCATCATTTTGAGACAACTCTCATACAAAAGCTTTATCTTTGAATGATAAAGTAGTTTCATTCTGTTAGCTGTAATAAAAACAGGTATATAGGAATCTGTTCATATTCACCTGCTTCTTCTGCTATTTCGACTTAAAATTTCACTTTGAATTCTCACGTTGGTAAATAACTCTGTACATTTAGATAAGCACCCACCAACACAAGCAGAATTTCACAGAACTTGCTACGGCTCAGAGACCGAATTCTGTTTGGTGGAATGACAGAAAACAATTTGATTACTATAAAAACATTATGAATCATTTTCTTCTAGAAAGATAGATTCAATCTATGTAGTTTCATGAAAAGCCACGTTATATTGGAGTTATTATTAATAATATATATAAAGTGCCAACAAGTTCCATAGCGCTGTACAATGGGTGGACTAACAGACAGATATTTGTAAACAGACAAGTTTGATGCACAGGAACAAAGGGATTGAGGGTTTATATACAATTAAACATTTTAACCAAATGTTATGGAAAAAAACTATTGTTCGACAAAGTGGTAATAATGGACCAATCACGCTGCATTTTGTGGTACGTACACTTTAGAGAAAAATCCAACATATGTAATAATTGTATTCTGTAAAAAACAAAACTCTGTTGAAATCATATATAAATCATGTAGCTTGAACCCCACCTTCCATCCCAAATTTCACCTTACCAAAGCCAAATATGTAGACTAAGAGCGCAGTAAACACCTTCCTCTCCCTGAGCAGATGGGAATGCAGAATAATTTATACCTGCTTATGGCGTTCACAAGCAAACCGCGACATCATTATTAACCCATTTAGAGCATGGGGCCATGTAAACAAAAAACTTTAATGAATAACAGATTTGACCACATTTTTTCATCTTTTTAATATTTTTCACTCTTGGCTCTCCATGACCAGGGTTATCCCTCGAAGTTGCTATACAGAAGAGGGGTCACCCAAAATTGGCCAAAAAGGTCTATACACCAGAGCTAGGTTCATTCTCTCTGGATTATGTGAGTGTTCCATTATCACCTTATTTTTTAATACAGGTTTTAAGGTTTTACACTATTGTTAATTTTTCTTATTTAAGAGGTATACACATCTGTTCATTAAAGACAAAAGACAGATCAGAGTTTACATTAATTTTATTGTTCACTACTTGCACGAACATTGCACCTTAAAGGTCATACAGCTCTCTACAGTTTTCATTGATATTTCATGTGTGTGTTTTTTGGAGGATGACACATACACCGTGGCAGCAGTTGTAAATTCACAATATTTAAAGTGGCACTGTCATGCCAAACTTACCTTTCCCCAATCGATTCCCCTTCTCTCCGTCTTTCAGGATCTGTTCTTCATTTCTTCCTGTCTGTTCTAGTTTTCTTTAAAACATAAGACAACGTAGAGACTACTTTGTCTTATGGAGGTTTCATACGCATGACTAGCTTTGACCCACTTCTCACGGTCAAAGAAATCCCCACAATTCTCACCTGATCTCGTGATGCTTCCTTTGACTCTTCCCGAGTGTCCTGTCATATAGATAAGACGCTGGTGAAACTACCGAATTCCGTCCTAACAGAATGAACAGTTTGTTCATTCGTGTTAGAATGGCATTCGGTAGTTTCTGTTCATATCGGAATTTCATTTGAATGAATGAAACTCTGATCCTATTCATGCCGCAGCTGCATCTTGCAGCTGCTTAGTAAATAGCTCCCTAATTCCCACGGTATTAGGGAGCTATCTACCAAAAGGCTGAAAGACCAAAACTGGTCTTTCAGCCAACTTTACTAATACAAAGTAAAAAATTACTTAGTATTAGTAATCTACCCCTACTCGCCATGCTGTGAGTAGGGACATGTCTACTAAACAGTGAGCAGCCAGTGGCTGCTCACTGTTGTAAAAAAGACCCACTCACACCTCTAATAAAGTGCTCCTTAGTGGGGCACCTATAACAATTAGTGTTCTGTCCCCTTCCCCCCCCCCTCCAGCCCCCACTTGTGCAAACTAATCTCCCTACTAAACTAATCTAACTTTCAATCTTCGTTATGCTCTTATGGGGGTCACAGCTGATGCTTCTATTTTTACAAATTACAAGGAGGGAGCTGCGAGCCGGCAGCTCCCTCCTTGGAATAAACGAACAAACAAACGAACACCGACATTCGGTCTTTGTTTGTTTGAAATTTCCATTAATTCGTCTTTCTGACGAATTAACGAATAGATGAAATTCACGTTCGCATGCCCAAGTGTTTAACTGGGCATGCGCGGGAATCTCACAGTGCTATCTAGTGTGGGCAGATGACGTGTCCCACAGGGACTTCATCTACCCACACAAAGATGGCGGTGCCCAGGACCTAGGTCCGGGCACAAAATAATCATTAAATATGGGGGACTTAGGGGCAACTTAGGCGACCAGGGGGGCTATTAGATGTATTAGAGTCGGGAGGGGGGGTTAAAAAAAAAAAGAAACGGATGCGGCCATGACAGTGCCGCTTTAAGATAGCGGTTTTAACACAGAACACTTTTATTACATTTGGGTAAGCATTTGCTTTTGCTTGTTGGGTTTAAAAAATAAAGAAGTCAAGTGATGCATGTCCCTTTAAGATATAGCTTTCCATCAAAAACGTTTCTCCTCCCTGGGAATTACCGTTGGTACTTCAGAGCCTCAATGGGCACCAATTTGAATCCATGTGTGAAGTACTTCTTAATGTTCTCAACACTTGAGCCTGTTTGTTTTTTTTTTTTGCTGGCTGTCGTCTCAGGATAAAGTTTCACGGCTCCAGGATCTCAACTGTGAAAAAAAACATTTACAGTTTCCATCAAGATACAGTTGACCTTCACACGGTTTGAGTTTTGACTGAAGTGTTGTCCTCATTTCACCTTAAAGGACAACTATAGTGCCAGGAAAACATACTCGTTTTCCTGGCACTATAGTGCCCTGAGGGTGCCCCCACCCTCAGGGACCCCCTCCCGCCGGGCTCTGGGGAGAGGAAAGGGTTAAAACTTACCTTTCTCCAGGGCCGGGTGGGGAGCTCTCCTCCTCCGAACCTCCTCCTCTCCTCCCTTTCGGCTGAATGGGCACGCGCGGCAAGAGCTGCGTGCGCATTCAGCCGGTCTCATAGGAAAGCATGATTTTCACAGTGAGAAGCATGCAAGCGCCTCTAGCGGCTGTCAATGAGAAACTGCTATGTTTATAAAAAAATGGGTTAACCCTAGCTGGACCTGGCACCCAGACCACTTCATTAAGCTGAAGTGGTCTGGGTGCCTAGAGTGGTCCTTTAAGAAGTGATTCATTAGACCTCAATTGCTGCCCTACATTCTACCAGTAAAGAACTGTATGTATTCCATCTTCAGACTGTTTGTGCTGATGGAGCATGGTGGCAGATTACAAGACAAATGTACAAACACACTGCTATGTTATGCAAATAAACTACTACATTAACACATTCCATGTTACGCAATCTGCCACATTCACACACTGCCATGCTACGCAAATAAACTACCATATTCTCACTGCCATGCTACACAAATAGCCATATTCACACACTGCCTGTGGCAAACCTAGCCACTTAAAGCGGCACTGTCATGCCGAATTCTGGCTTTTTTTTTAACCCCCCTCCGGCCTCCACTACATCTAACTAACACCCTAGTCACCCCCAAATGCCCTTAAGCCCCCCACATTACCTATTTTTTAATCCTTATTTTCTGCCCCGATCTTGATTCAGGGCGCCGCCATCTTTGTGTGGGTAGATGAAGTCCCTGTGGGACACATCATCAGCCCACACTAGACAGACTGTGAGATTCCCGCACATGCCCAGTGATACACTTGGACATGCGAACGGGAATTTTATCTATTCACTCATTCATCAGACAGACGAATGAGTGAATAGAAAGATCAGCCGAACAAACTAACACAATGTATCAGTGTTCGCTTGTTCGTGCAGGTTATTACAAGGAGGGAGCTACCGGCGTGCAGCTCCCTCCTTGTAATATGTAACTATAGAAGCGACAGGGAGCAGTGCTCCCCGACACTTCATAAGCCCCCCCAGGTCCCCCCTCACTCTATGGGGGTCAATATGACCCCCATAATAGCACAAGGGAGATTAAATTTATGCTCGCACGCTATACCGCGTAGTAGTATGTCTACAACAGTGAGAAGCTTCCGCGGCGGTGGGGCTGGTAATGAGAAGGGATTCAGCTGCCTCACCCTGGGCGGCGGGTGGGGGCCATAATGAGAATGGGGTGGGGGGGACCTACTGTCCTCGCCCCCACCCCTGGGCGGCGGGTGGGGGCCATAGTGAGAATGAGGGGGGGGGCAGTACTCCCCCCCCGGCCCCCACCCCTGGGCGGCGGGTGGGGGCCATAATGAGAATGGGGGGGACCTACTGCCCCCCCCGGCCCCCACCCCTGGGCGGCGGATGGGGGCCATACGAGAATGGGGACCTACTGCCTCCCTCGCCCTTCCTGAAGCGGCGGGTGGGGGCCATGAAGAGCAATGGGGGGACTTACTGTCCCCGCCCCTAACCCTGGGCGGTGGGGCCCTAAAACACTACCCCCCACTCAAGGTGACTAGGGGTCCCCAAGCCCCTAGTCACCCACCCCCACCCAAAAAAAAACAAGTCCCTACCTACCCCCCTCACCCTAAAAAATAGTGAGGGGGGGATAAAATAACTAACCTGTAAAATAAAATTAAACTTACCATTCGATGTCTTCTTTTTTCTCAAATCTTCTTTTTTCAGCCCCAAAAAAGGCCAAATAAAAAACCATCATAACCGTCGAATTGAAAATAAAATAAAAATCCCGAGCGCCAAAAAAAAAACAGATGAAAAAGAAAAAACCCGAGCGCAAAAAATAATCCATCTTCACCCATGGAGGGCTCGCCAAGAGACTGAGCCTCGCGAGGGCGGGGAAGGCTTATAGCTTTCTGCTCACTCTGCACATTAGGCTACAAGAACACTCTGGATTGGTCGTTTGCCAATCAGAGTGCTCTTTGTCATTTTACACAGCGAAAATTAAAGAATTTTCCCACGCTGTGTAAAAGACACTGTGGATTGGATGGCTTGAATCCATCCAATCACAGTGTTTGTCATTTTACACAGCATGGGAAAATTCCCCCCTCATCTGGCTTGGGGACCCCTAGTCACCTTGGTGGGGGGGGGATGTAATTGACTTAGGGCCCCCACCCGCCGCCCAGGGGTGGGGGGGGGGAGGACACTAGGTCGTCCCCCCTCATTATCTTCATGGCCCCCACCCGCCGCCCAGGTCATGGAGCAGTTCTTCGACGGGATACCCCCCATCTACAAAATTGGGTAAGGGACCGAAAACCATGCACGCTACAAGAGGCAGCCAAACTGGCAGATGAGTTTCAAGATACCAGAAGGGACCAGTGCACCCAGCACTGACCGGTCTATGGACCTACAGCACCGTTACCAGCCGTGACCTCAACCGTCCAACCACGACCAGGGGTAAGCCAAAATACCTACAACCCCAGATACCCTACCCATCCTCCGATCCATTGCTACACCTGCAACCAGCATGGGCATATACAGCGAGACTATCCCCGCAACCAACCCAGGCCAAGCTGGAATAATGCAACATCCAACAACCGAGCAGCCATGCACTGCATACAAGCAGAACAGTACGGAGCACCCGAGGCAGCCACTCCAATGGAAGAACCTCTGGGGGCTCTTCATGAGGTAAACCCCATCCAGGTCGCCTCTGATAACCGACAGGGACACCGACAGGAAGTACACATGGAGGGGAAAAAGGTACAAGGTCTACGAGACTCTGGGGCCACCTTAACGCTAGTCCGAAATCATCTGGTGCCAAAGCATAATCTAACCGGGGACTGTGTCGCTGTACGGGTGGCAGGGGGAGCGATTTACAAAGGTAAAATGCCCCGGCTACCTTTCAGAGGATGGTGGATCGGCTACTAGATGGGTTCCAGGAGTATGCTTGCTCCTATCTTGGCGACCCGCTAAAATAGAGGCGGTCGCCAAGTGGCCAACCCCCCGCACCAAGACGCAAGTCCTCGCGTTCCTAGTAATACTCTACAATTTGTGTCCAACTACAGTACCCTAGCCAAACTCCTCACCGACCTAACCCGTAAGAATCTCCCTAAGATAGTGGTATGGTCCCCAGAGTGTGAACAGGCATTCCAACAGATCAAGACTGCGCTTATTAAATCACCTGTACTTTCTGCTCCTGATCCAACTAAACGCTTTCTCGTCCATACAGACACTTCTATGTTTGGATTGGGAGCAGTACTGAGTCAAGTCGGAGCAAATGGTGGCGAGCACCCAGTAGCTTACCTCAGCAGAAAACTTTTACCCAGAGAAGTAAGCTACGCCGCCATTGAAAAGGAATGCCTGGATGTGGTGTGGGCCCTCAAAAAGCTGCAACCATATTTGTATGGACAACCCTTTACATTACTCACAGATCACAACCCGTTGGTGTGTCAGGAGACAATGCCAGGCTGCTGCGCTGGAGTTTGGCGCTGCAGCCTTTTGACTTTTGACCATCCACTACCGCCCTGGGAAGCAAAATGGCAACGCCGACGGGTTATCCAGACAAACAGACCTTGAAAAGTGATCTGTGAGTACTCCTCCGGACATCCCCAAGCTGATCCGTATGCTGGCTTGGTTCTGGGGAGCATTGTGGCAAACCTAGCCACTTAAGACTCTATTTCCCACTTAAGACTGTATTTACATTTATGTGATATTGTGGCTTTAAGACTACCTGAACTGTCCATGTTCCCTATTCTGTATTTTATGTGAACGAGAGCATTCGTATGCTGGCGGCACGAAAACCACCAGTCTTCATACAGTAGTTTAACGAACAGTGAATTTCAACACTGTTCATGAAACGAACAAACTACCGAATGGGAGACCACACACAGGAGGTCGTGTGGCTCCCATAACGGATCGCAACAAAGTTTCTTTCAGCAGTTAATAGATGTTCAGGGTGGCTGCCGCTTGGATACCGACCACGCGGCGGTGGCCATCTTGGATCCTTTGTTAGTCCAGCGGTGTTTGGTCGTCAAGTGCCTGGAACTAAAATCGGCTACTCGACAGCACGAATACCGCTGGATTTCCAGGCCGTTCGGTAGCACCGGTCTTTCGGTATTTTATCTCTGCATGTGTATTTGAGACTTTTGTGAAGAATTTGTGTTCAAGTGTTTTTCGTGCAGCGTTCGGCTAATTGTGCTGGGATCTGAGCGGTACGTTCACGAAGTATGCGCTCAGACCCCAGCTATCTGCCAAGCGGTCATTCGGTACAATAACACGAATAATATTAGAGTTATAGATTTTTATGTAAAAAGCCAGTTCTGCTGTACGGAGGGATAATCCACTTAACTGGATATTCTAGTGGGAGTATCCCTCTCGTACAGCGGTGCATGGTGGGAGAAATGTTCTGATTGTTAAGTTCCCCATGTAGTCCCCTACTTTACAACCCCTGTAAAGTCAGTAAGGAAACCCCTTCTTGGGAAGGAAGAATCTGTATAACGCTACCGGGATTATTGTATGCTGTACTTGTTTTACCTGGATTATTACATGCTGCTCCTGTCTACCAGTGGAGATATTGTGGATTATACTACCTCTCCGCTACACTGCCATGTTACGCAAACTACCACATTGACACATTGCCATGTTACGCAAACCATCACATTCACACACTGCCAAGCTACGCAAACCATCACATTAACACACTGCCATGTTACGTTAATAAACTACCACATTCACACCACAATGTAACGCAAGTAAATTACCACATTCACACACCACAATGTTACACAAATAACTTACCGCATTCACACATCGCCATGTTACGCAAATATACTGCAACATTCACACGCTGCCATGTTACGCAAACTACCTCATTCACACGCTGCCATGTTACGCAAACTACCACATTCACACACCACAATTCACATTCACACATTGCCATGTTACGCAAACTGCCACATTAACACACTGCCATGCTATGCAAATAAATAGCCAAATTCACACACTGCCTTGTCACGCAATAAAATTACCACATTCACACACCACAATGTTAGACAAATAAACTACCACATTCCCACACTGCCATGCTATGCAAACTACCACATTCACACACTGCCATGCTAAACAAATAAATTACCACATTCACACACTGCCATGCTAAACAAATAAATTACCACATTCACACACTGCCATGCTATGCAAATAAACTGCCACATTCACACACTACCATGCAATGTTAATATACTACCACATTCACACATTGCCGTGCTACACAAACCATATTCACACACTGCAATTCTATGCAAACTACCACATTCACACACTGCCATGCTATGTTAATATACTACCACATTCACACATTGCCATGCTACACAAACCATATTCACACACTGCAATTCTACACAAACTACCACATTCACACACCACAAATAAATGACCACATTCACATACTGCCATGCTTTGCAAAATAACAAGCAAGTGAACTGCCACTCCTTCCTTTGTATCGGTCACTGTATCGGAGAGTGTCTGTGTGTGTGTGTATGTGCCAGTGTGTATCTGTGTCAAGGTCTGTGCATGTGTCAATATGTGTATGTCAGTGTGTATATGTCAATGTTTTATATGTGTGTCTGTGTGTTAATTTGTTTGTGTATGTATGTACAGCAATCATATGTGTATACATCCCCAGCAATCAAACACGGATATGTACATATATCCCAGCAAACACCAACACAACATGCAAACACAAACATTACATACAAAAACCCTTGGATTAAAATTTCAAATACAAACACTCAAAACACTAATACTACACACAAATGTACATATGCATTTAAAAGCCAACACACTGCATCAAAGCACACCCTTGCAATCAAATGCAAACATTACATACAAACACACCCCTGTATCAAAACGCTAACATTATATACAAACACCAACTGTACACACAAAAACACACCTGCTCCTAAGCACTACTATCTGTTTACTACCTGCGCCAAACATTTTTTGGGGGTTCCACGTTGTTCGCGCATTATGTCAAAGGGTTCCACAGGAAAAATTAATTAGGAACCCCTGCGCTAGCAAATAATAAAATAGCAATAGCAGTGTTGTTTTTCTTTAAATCAAAAGAATAAATATATAGACTAGGGCATGGGTCCTCAAACTCCGGCCCCCCAGATGTTGCTTTACTACAACTCCCATGATTCTCTGGCTATCTATGTAATTCAAAGAATCATGGGAGTTGTAGTTCAGCAACATCTGGGGGGCCAGAGTTTGAGGACCCATGGACTAGGGCCCAGGCAACGGCAATCTTCAGCACTCCAGATGTTTTGGACTACACCTCCCATGATGCTTTGCCAGCATTATGGGTGTAAGAGTATTATGGGGGATGTAGTTCACATCATCTGGAATGCTGAAGGTTGCCTATCCCTGGGCAATAAGAGCATTTACATACTCTACTAATAGCTGCAACTCTGTTTACTTATTTAGCCTTCACTTCCAAATGTCCTTTGCTACCTCTCGTCTCAAATCCCCACGGTATCCTTTAGATTGTAAGCTCATGGGCAATCTAGCTATGCACTTTGTGTAAAAGAGCTTAAATGGCTAGATCTCGACTGGCGGGCAGGGCCCTCTCTACCTTTTGTATTTGTCTGTGTATATTGTATGTTCTCCACTAATTGTACAGCACTGCGGAATCTGTTGGCGCTTTATAAATACCAGTAATAAGTAAATAACTGATTTTTTTGTTCGTTTTTAAATTCAAAAATCGAGAGGACCACAACCACAACCAGCCACACATGATGGGTAAAATAATTGCTTCTATAAAGCTATGTGCTGCTGGAGTTATTTAGCTAAATAGAGATTAGGGAACAGAGCACAAATAAAAATAGTTTAAAAATGTTTTTAGGCTAGTTGAGATAACCTATTTCAGGAAACATATGGGGATTCAGTTCTACCATATGTCCATGTTGTGTTAGGACCAACACTACTTTACAGTACCCCAATATTGGTGGGTCCTACACTGATTCCAACATGGAATTAGTGGGAGATAGTGCGAATGCTAAAAAGCTAAATTTTAATAATATGTTATAAAGCATTGTGAAAATATATATTATATATATATACACACACACACAATGCAAAATGAATATGATCAACACAGCAAATAAAAAAAAATTCAGTATCAAAATAAAAAAATTTAAGTGATGATTTATAAACTCAATGCATATCACGTATCTATATAAAATTATGATTAAAGTGACATTACTGTCCTTAAGCCCACTCAAATCTATACTTTTCCGTGGTCACCTCCAAAAGGGCCTATGAAGCTGGGTGGCTGAGAGGGGTGCTTAACCCAAAAGGAATCCAAGACAATCCCGATTTTATATCGTATTCTCAATTATTTATATATTTTAAATAGAGGAACGCTTACTAACTATATATTATTATAGCCAAGATATCTGTATGGTTAGCCCTGCTAAATTCTATACTTAAGATGTTATAGTGGTAAATTGGGGAACCAGCCGCGGTTACACAAGTAAACTACCACATTCACTTACTGCCCTGCTACGCAAAATACCACATTCACTTACTGCCATGCTATGCAAAAAACCTCATTCACACACTGCCATGTTACACGAATACAGCCACATTCACTTACTGCCATGTTACGCAAAATACCACATTCACTTACTGCCATGTTACGCAAAATACCACATTCACTTACTGCCATGTTACACGAATACAGCCACATTCACTTACTGCCATGTTACGCAAAATACCACATTCACTTACTGCCATGCTATGCAAAAAACCTCATTCACACACTGCCATGTTACACGAATACAGCCACATTCACTTACTGCCATGTTACGCAAAATACCACATTCACTTACTGCCATGTTACACGAATACAATCACATTCACTTACTGCCATGTTACGCAAATACAGCCACATTCACTTACTGCCATGTTACGCAAATACAGCCACATTCACTTACTGCCATGTTACACAAATACAATCACATTCACTTACTGCCAGGTTATGCAAAATACCACATTCGCATACTGCCATGTTACCCAAATACTACCACATTCACACTGCCATGTTACCCAAATACTACCACATTCACACGCTGCCATGCTACACAACTAACAAATTCACACGCTGCCATGCTACACAACTAAATTACCACATTCATATACTGCTATGCTACTCAAACTACCACAGCCACACACTGCCATACTACATAAATAACCCCCACATTCACATAGGGTATTTTTCTGTGTTGCTCAAATCTACTCTGCATTCCCATATCCTGGCAAAACACACACACTCATCAATTTACATTTACTCTGGACATAACTTTTTTGCCACTGGCAAGTGGTAATGTTGCCCTACCCAGGGTAGTGTGTGTGTGTGTCATGCATTTTGGAGAGGGATGGGGGACATGAAATACAGTCATAGGCTAGTTAAAGGACCACTATAGGCACCCAGACCACTTAATGAAGTGGTCTGGGTGCCAGGTCCAGCTAGGGTTAACCCATTTTTTTTTTTTTTTTATATAAACATAGCAGTTTCAGAGAAACTGCTATGTTTATAAATGGGTTAATCCAGCCTCTAGTGGCTGTCTCATTGACAGCCGCTAGAGGTGCTTGCGTGCTTCTCACTTTGATTTTCACAGTGAGAAGACGCCAGCGTCCATAGGAAAGCATTGTGAATGCTTTCCTATGGACTGGCTGAATGTGCGCGTGGCTCCTGCCGCGCATGTGCATTCCGCCGAAGAGGAGGAGAAGAGCTCCCCGCCCGGTAAGTTTAACCCCTTCCTCCCCCTAGAGCCCAGCGGGAGGGGGACCCTGAGGGTGGGGGCACCCTCAGGGCACTATAGTGCCAGGAAAAAAGAGTATGTTTTCCTGGCACTATAGTGGTCCTTTAATACATAAAAGGTTCCACCCAAACGGCACAGAACTTTACTCAGTTAATGTAATCGTAGGGGGGCTCAGCGCCTAATTCTGCCTGGGGGAGCCAGACTGCTTGCAGTCCATCCCGGATTGACAACATGGGTGACTTTGGGGTTAACCATAGTAACTGCCTGGCATGGTATAAGGCCAACATAAAGGATTACAATTTAATACTATATGAACCCTTACAGTTATAATGGGAGTAATGAGAGGTTTACTCATGGGGAAAGGTATCTGAAATAAAAATTGGTAAAGGACTGTGTCTTTAGGGGATGGGAAATGGATGAAACCACGAGATGGGATGAGGAGAGGGTTGATAAAAGGTAGCTGAATGAGGAGTGAAGAATACATTTAAAGGGGAAATGTAGTAAGGAGGAGAAAAGAAATTAAAATCTGACAAATAGAATTAGGAAGAGGGTGTTGTTGTGTATATGGGGAGGAATTTATAATCCAGTTCCTGTGTGCAAGTTACAAACACAAGGTGAATGTGCCATTTCAGTGCGGAGGTTCTTTTTGAACTCTCCTCCCACCATTCAGCAAATTGGTTCAAAATATAAAGTTGAGCAGCGTTCATCCCTTTTTAATGGAAGCTCTTCACATAAAAAAATAAGTAAATAATAATTCTGTAAATGTTACCCATTCCCCAATAAAATATGAACAAACTATGGGTAAAAACAAAGTGTTTTTTTTATTGTCATTCTTTAAATACAAAATAAATCTTTCACGATAAGGTCACTTGCATGATGAGATGGCACAAAATATGTATCCTCCCTTTTCATTCGTGTCCAGCATAAAATACATTTATTTTCCTAAACGTTTTTACTTCCTGCCTAGACGAGGTCCCTGGAAGTTAAACGTTAAATATCTTGTGTTTTCTTTCTAACTAGCACTGACTGAGCTTAAGGGGAAGGATGATACCATACTTTCATTAACTCTGTGAGCCTTCAATCCCCTCCTCCCAATTAAACAGAGCCATATATAACATTTCTCATAATCCTTTGTTCAGCAAAAATATCTTAAAAATATACACTATAGGGAATTTGTTTTGTTTAAACACTTTAGGTGCATAAAGTTACATCACCTCATGACAGACAGACGACGTCTGAACCTTTGGGATCAGAGTCATAATTTAATTTTTAAAAGTTCCCCCAACAACATCTACTGTAGAGAATTGAAGGTTTTTGTTTTTTGTGCATGTGCAAAAGTGGGCAGTAAATATTATTTTAGAATAATTATAATTTGTCACCTGCTTCAGGATAAATGTATCGTCAAACTGTGCCGTCTGTTGTAATTGCTTTGTATAAAGTCCTATGGTAGAGATTCCTATAAAGCAGCCTCCATTGTAACGTTAGTGCTGCTTTGAAGGGCCAGCCTATCCCTACATTTCTACGGTGATGCAGGTAACAGACAGAGGTCAAAATGTGATAGATAAAATAAGTGTTAAGTAAGAGTTTACTATGCGCTGGGGTTTCTGATCACGTTTTGTGGACCCTTCAGAATCAGAGCTCACTGTTGTATCCCTTGTCTGATTTCACAATGCCGCGGCTCTAATATTCTCTGGGTCATTTTATTAACCAAAAAAAAAAAAAATCTGCATGTCTAAAATAAAATGATAAAAGCAGCAATGGATTCGCAAGAAGGATCCAATGTTCGTTGTCTGTCCGATCAGGACACAAAATGCACGCACACAGCTTGAAGGAAGAGAAGGCTTGTTGACCTCATGACGCAGCATCTTCTACATAGTTAGCAGGATAAAGTCCGATTTTCCCACCAAGGAGACGTCCCCTGCACCAGCCCTGCTCGTCTTCCGAACCAAGTTTTATGAGCTCTTCTCCTAAAGAAAGACATTGAGATGATATGGGGGGGAATAAAAATAAATAAAGTGAGCAAGCTGTCCAAAAGTGTAAAGGTTATGATACTCAAATATCACATAATCCACGGTACGATTCAGTGGAACTGCTGTTAAATTGTAAAAACAAGAAATCTCACAAGTACTGTATACTGTCCAGAATTCTGCCAAACAAAACGGTTTTAATATTATGTATGCTTTAAATATAATGTATTAAATAAAAATACCAATTTACTACTGTTGCATTAACCGTTAAACATAACTGCAACCTCCAACAGGAAGAGGTTTACTCAGTACTTTATCATTTTCACATTTCACAGTATGACGAGAAAAATAAAACAAACAAAAATATAAAAACCCAACTCACCACAAAATAAATACTTTACTGGTTTTTGAATGGAAACAGAATGAATGAACATGTAATTACATTGCATAGTTAAAAGGGACACAAACAAAAATTGTGGTCCAAACCAATTTAGGACGAAATTGTTTTAATTATTTATTTTATTTATTTATTTTTTAATATGCCCGCCATACTACAGCCCCTATCTCCCAAGATAAAACCACACATACAGTTGTAATAAAAAAATTTAATAAAATAAATTGAGTTTGGGGTAAACACTAGAAGCATTCGTTGTGTTGAGCTATTTCAATTGCTTTTGCAAACAGCTGAAAGTCTGTAAATTTTTTACAATAACCCTGATTTTCAATGGGGTTAAATAATTTTGATTACTACTGTACATACCAGCCCATGTGGTCTCCACAAAAAATACAAGCCCTACCTCGCCACATACATACCTTAACCTTATTTCACATGACATCACAAAACTCTGTACAACCACACACACACGCACAACCCCACAAGCAGTATTGCCAAAGCCTCACAAAACAGTCCCCACAATTAGCCATCCCCCCACACATAACCCCACAAGCAGTATTCCCAAAGCCTCACAAACACAGTCCCCCCCAAACTCATCACCACAATTAGCCACCACATAGAAACATAGAATGTGACAGCAGATGAGAACCATTCGGCCCATCTAGTCTGCCCAATATTTCAAAATACTTTTAATTAGTCCCTGGCCTTATCTTTTTTGTGCATGTGCAAATGTGGGCAGTAAGTATTATAGAATTATACCACCCCCCCACACATAACCCCACAAGCAATCTCCCCTACACATGCAACTCGGCAACCAACTTCCAAAACACACAAAACACCACAAGCAGCCCACACACACTTGTCTTCTCTTTGTCCTCTGGTTTCTCATAAGAAACAGGTCACAATGAAACACAGAAGTGTCTAATTTGCTTGCATTGGGTGTACAAAAGCAGGGCAACAATTCCCTATGCAAGATGTAACGTAATCCTCTGTTACCTTGGTACTTGGAGAGGACTGCAGGTCAGCCTCCTCCCAACCGACTACGGACACTGTGACAGTAGTCAACATCACTGGAGGAGGAAGACTCAATTCAGGCCCTCAGATTATTCTTAGGTTTTAGTCAGCCTATGCCAATTATAGAAGCAGGGTGTGTATAATAGACTTGTTTATTGTTAAATGTTTTGTGTGCTCTAATGTCCTGCTGTTGCTTTCAACCAATTAGGTGGATTTGGCTATGCAGCCTGTACAGCACCATCTACTGGTTGTAAGGATCCTGAAACAGTGATATGCACTACCTGAATAGCAAAACTTGCTAATTTGCATATTCAGGTAGATGTGCATATTATGAATTCTGCAGGAAGGAGGGAAGGAGTGTGTTAATTATGGTCTTGTCCGCTCCTTTATAAATATATTATAAGTTCCTATAGGTTTTCTGATATGATTTGGTTATTTGTATTTTATTGAATTTGTCACAGCGGGTTTAATGTGATGCGCGTAGGGGCATGTCCTGACTAAAAATAAAGCCGAGTATGTTGGTTCATTTCGGAATGGTGTGTCCTATGTGAATTTGTTCAGGGATCCCAGTAACTGTCTTTGGACCTGTTGGCAAGGTGTTTGGTCTCTGTAGCCTGGGACAAGTATATAAAAAAAAAATAATAATAAAGCTAGGCCTGAGAGCCGCAAGTACCTTTGTAAAGGCAGTAACCAATACTAATGCAGGCGGATGTGTGGATACCTGCATGAGGAAGGAGTTGCAGAGGAAACAATAGCTGCCTGGAAGATGAGAGATGCAGCCTGGACGGGTGGAAGAGTTCTTGAGGGACCCAAGTCAAGCTTCAGCTAGGAAGCTGATTAGGCGGAGGTACTCAGAGTACAGGAGCTCTGTCACACAAGAGGTCTACAGTGGGGCCCTGCACAAGGGCTGTCCTGGAGGGGAACTGGACTGACCACATAACCACTTGGTGGGTAGGAGGGGTGCAGGTCATTGATGATGATAGCATGCCTCCCCTCTATGTCCCATCCCCTACTATTGGGCTGCTATTCCTGGAAGTGTCTGGACTGAAATTTTGCCCCAGTCCAGCCCTGTATTTAACCATAACCCGATTCTAAATTTTGGAACTTTTTCTATTGATCTAGAATTAAGATGGATTTCCACCTGCCTGACTGCCTGCCCAGAGGTGGCCTTCCACATATGTTAATATATATATACACATATATACACACACACACACATATATATATACACACACACACACACACACACACACACACACACACACACCCCCCAATGCAATGTAAGAGGTTCAACTACAGGAACAGAGACTTCATCTGCTACCATTTTAATAAGCTTTAGAGATTGTGATGCTTACAGTGACCGTATCAAGATAAAATGGTAGTAATAATAGAAAGGGTAATTTCATTTTGTTTGTGCACACAGTTCGCTTTAAAGATATCTGCGGTGTCATCTTACAGCAATACTGTATTAATCCTGAGTCGCAACATTCTGGAATAGTCATGAGATAATATCAAATGGTGAAATTAAACCACTTTGGGGTGCTCAAAAAGACCCGATGTTTACAGCAACATATGAGAGAATTGGTTGGGATTTTCACACTTCTCATAAACGGTAGGTTATTTAATTTAGTGCTGGTAACACAATTTATACCTTTTCATAGATGTGTGAGAAAATTTAAAGGGACACTATGGTCACCAGAACAACTACAGCTTATTAAATCTGTTCTGGTGAGTAGAATCATTCCCTTCAGGCTTTTTGCTGTAAACACTGTCTTTTCAGAGAAAATGCAGTGTTTATATTACAGCCTAGTGATAACTTCACTGGCCACTCCTCAGATGGCTGTTAGAGATCCTTCCTGGGTCATGGCTGCCTAAAATGCATCCAAACATTCAGTATCTCCTCCCTCTGCATGCAGACACTGAACTTTCCTCATAGAGATTCATTGATTCAATTCATCTCTATGAGGAGATGCTGATTGGCCAGGGCTGTGTTTGAATCATGCTGGCTCTGCCCCTGATCTGCCTCCTTGTCAGTCTCGGCCAATCCTATGGGGAAACATTGCGACTGGATCAGGCTACAACTTCTGATGGAGTCAGCAGACAGTTTTTTTCCTGAGGCAAACAGCATGCAGATCTACAGCTTCAGGCTTGAATGCAGTAAAATTTGTCTGTATTTATGTTGGCATGATGGGCCCAGGGGGGCTGGATGGTGGTTTTAACACTATAGGGTTAGGAATACACGTTTGTGTTCCTGACCCTATAGTGAACCTTTAATATTTTCTATTTGCAACTACTGGCTGGAATTATTTAGCTATGGATACG